CCAGTCGCCAGGCGCGAGCCTGTGCCACCAGTTTGCTGCTCTCCCCATGCGCCAAGGCCGGAGAAGTTAGTGATCAGGGGGGGCAGATCGCTGCGTTATGCAACGTTCAGCCCAAGCGCCTCCTTATTGAATTCTGTTGTTCGACGACCTCACGGTTGGGCGAATCAAGAGACTCTTCAAAAGGTTGCCGTGTCATTCGGGTAACGGAAACCGAAGACGGGTGCTCCGATACGTGCAGGCAGTGGTTAGGCCGTGAAATCGCCGAATTCAGGAGCAAGAATCCTAAGGGCGCAATCATGTTCTACGTCTCGTTGCCATGCACTGGAGGTTGCCCGTGGGGTTATGTCAACCAGCAAACTCCCAAAGGTGCTGCCAAGATTGAGGGCCACATCAAGCAATTCCGATCACTGTTGAGAGGGTTCAAACGCATTCTCAATGATGTTTATTCAAATGACATTAGAGTTGCTTTCGAACTCCCCAAGGCATGTCGTTATTGGAAATGGCCTGAACTATGGAGTTTCTTAACTAAGTACAAGATGAACAAGTATGAATTCCATGGTTGCAAAATCGGTATCAAAGGGAGAAATGGAAAACCCATGAAAAAGCAATGGGTCGTTGCCAGCAATATGCCCACTATTTCCGTTGTTGAGTACTTCAAATGTGATGGTTCTCACGAGCATGATGAAAGCCGTGGCACCCACTTGAAGGAAGCCGAGGGATACACGTACATTTACACTGATGCCGTTCACAATGCATTTTCCGAACATGCCACCATGCAGCCGTTGCTTTCGAGTGATTGTGCTGCATCGTTTTCGCAATGAGCGGCCCAACGGCTATGGCGCATCCCGCGAGGGATTGCGATCCGGCATGGAGGAGGTGGATGGAGAATGTTGCTACCACATCGGTATGCACGAACGGCAAGTACGACGCTAACCTCGCCGCTACGGTCAAGGGCCTCCTGGAGACGACCTCTGCACAGTCGCTTATTCATACATGGGTGCAGGACCAACCGCATTATTTGCAGTTGCTTACACCCCTGTTAACTATAAGCGAACCTTATTTGAAGGTTGTGCAGGCCCCACGTGTACCAGACCGCGACCTCCTTATCTATGTGACTGTCGCTGACTCAGGACTGTCCATGGTTTCGGGCAAGAAGAAGAAGCTCCGCAAATATGATTTTGCAGAACGTTTGGATGCTTCTCGCCCGGCGCGTGTCGGTGCATGGAGGTCAGAAATGCTTTGGGGCAAGGGCCTTCAACAGCTTTGCAAGCGGTTGGCCGCCCTTATCGACGAGGTGCGCACGGACTACCCAACGGCGACCATCGTTCCGATGATTTATTGGAACGGCAATGAGCTTGTTGGGAAGGACGGCATTGAGCCCAGCGGCACCTACCCGTTCGACCAACCCGCCGGCGAGGCCAGTCAGTTGCTGGCAGACACCAAGAGGCACCTGGCTTGGACCAGGGATTTCGCGGCCCGCAAGGGCTGCGCATGCCTTGGAGTCATGACCGGCGCGAAAAGCTATCTCTACGGCTTCTCTATGATTTGGGACCGTTACATGACGGAAGTCCGGGATTACATCATCGGCGACCCCAATCATATGTTTGTGTACGTAGATGCTACACCCTTTGTCGAGACCATCGATTTGCTGGACAGGTATCATATGTGCTTCAGTGACGACAACATCACGAAGACCGTCCAGTTCATGCGCGGAACCCATCACATGTTGTATATGCTTTCTATCTTGCGCCCCGCAATGGGCAGCGTAGCCGAGCTGACACGTTCGCACGACTGTACCGTGCGTCCGATCGATGTGCTCGAGGTGCGCCACCAAGAAGATTGCACAGTCAACGTTGAGGTTCTCGCGTACTGCAAGGAGACGCTAACGAAGTGCGGTGTTTCTTTGTCAGAGATGATCGGGCTCCCTTTCACCCGTGAAGAAGTGGAAGTCCGGCAGCCTCTCGATTTCGCCCCCGTCAACCCAGCCGAGTTTGCAACTTCAGGTGAGCCTTCCGGTGCAGATGTTTCCGAAAGTGTTCGCCCGGCGCAAGCCGGTGCAAAAGCGGCTGCGGTGGCAAAGAGGGACGAGGCGGCGAGCAGGCCGGTACCACTCGACTCCTACGGGAGGAGCGTGACTGGGGGCCACTATGACTGCTGGGTGTATAGCATTCATGATGGCGGGAAGTATGTCGACTACGGTGAGGGCCCCAAGAGACTCGACATCATCAAGCAGCCCTCTTTCGATTACGACCCTTCCGTCAGGAGAATCAGTGACGAATACCACCGTTCCCTGACGTGCATTTCCAAGATCCTCCGTGGTCGTGGAACAGAAGGATGCGGGTACGTGATGGATGAGGACGGCTACATGGACCTCGAAGACCTGGGACTCGCGCTTCGCAAGGAGCTGCGATATCCCATTCCATGGATATTCAGAATATCATGGACATCTTCAAGCTGGACAGAAAGCAGAGGTTCATTGGGCTTGGTTGCCCGGACGCAAGCCGGTGCGGAGACGTTCCATGTTCTCATTGGCTGTTCAAGCTGAAGGCCTCCCAAGGCCATGAGGAATGGCTCCAGATCGACGACTCCGGCATCGCGAAGGAGTGGTACGTGAACCCGGGGACTGACCTCGGGCGCTGGTCTGGCTGGAACGTTTGCAGCAACCCTCCTACGGTGCTTTATCACCGCACTGATAAGCGAAACTTCGCTAACATCATGCGGAACGGACTGCTTCCAGGTGGAGGGGACCAGCACGAGACAGGCAGACCTCACGTTTTCTTCGCTGACGTCCCCAGCACGAATGAAAATTACATCTCTGGTGTACGTGCGAACAAACCCCTGGAGATACAGATCGACCTCAGAATGGCCATTCGCGCAGGGCTTTGCTTTTTCAAGACGGAGAGCGACGGTGTCCTTACGCGCGACAAGGTGCCCAACTACACGATTATTTCGGTATTGGACGCTACAAATGGCGATGTATGGTACACTCGCTCCGAGCAATCGGATGCAGGTGCACCAGCTGAGGCGACTGAGGATGAACCCCAGGGAATGAGGCGCGACCAAGCCGTGGTTGATGATCGTTCAACAGCGCTGGAACGTATTGCTACTACGCGCACAAATGTGGCCTCTCCTCGCGCCTCGCAAGGGGAAGCGAAGAGACAGAAGACTTTCAATCCAATGGAGAACGTTGAGCTGAACGTCGCCACGTGCCCGGTTTGCAACAACAGTGTATTCGAGGGGCAGGTGCACTGCTCATCATGTGGGCAGTTGTCACCCCTCAACCCACGCCTGTTGAAAGAGCAACAGAAGAATTACATTGTGCAGCGTTCCAATCTGCTGAAGAAGATGGGCCTCAGCACCCACGTTACAGCTCAGGTCCTGGCATCTGTGGGAACATTCGACCTCCGCGAGGAGGATCGTAGCAGCATCATTCGTGGCTTGAACTCCCCGGACAGTGCTGTCATTCAGGAGGCACGGAAGAAGCTCAAGTCCGCCCTGAAGAACGGCTACCACTCTCTGCTTGACCGCTATGAACTCGACCTTCAATACAGGGTTCGTATGCTTGAGGTGGGCCGTCGGGAGGCGGACATGCTCCGCATGGAGTTGAGCGCAAATCTCGCCTTGGCTGCTCCAAAGCAGTCGCAAGCCCAGCGCACTCTGGGAGTTGGCCTTGGATCAACCTCGGAGTCGCGAATCGCAAGGCTCGCGTATATCAAGACAGAGTTGGAGTTCCTGCCCAACGAGCTTCAAGATGCGCTTTCCTCTCGCTGGATCATAATGTTCCAAGGGATGCCTTATAGCCCAAGAGCTTTCATCAACGTGGTCTTTGAGCAAGACAAGCCTCGCAGCATTGGTTGTTGGAATGGCATCATCCATCTGCGAAGCAACACGTTGGACGACCTCCGCAACGAGATGGACTGGATTTTCAGCCAGAATGAGCGGTATGCACGTAACTCGATCGAATTTTCGAGGAACGAGAGCAGCAAACACCTTGCTCGCAATGCCGCTCGCTATGCCGAGACAAGTGCTCCCGCCGCCCGCGAGGGTGAGCATTGGAGCCAAGGCAGCTGGCAGAATTGGTCCGGATGGAGCGGATGGGGCAACAGTAGCGGCAGCTATTCGACTTGGCAGTGGCGCTGAAAGCGCAACTGTCATGGTTTGCATGTAACAATGGTTCCCCTGACCTTCTCCCTCTGTTGTGTTACTGTTTGGCTGCTTTGTGAAAGGCCCCTTTAACACGCAGAGGGGGGTGAAGAATTTGATCGGTCAGTATGGGGTTTTACATCCATTGCATCTGCAGTGTGGCTGTTCAAGCGTAAAATGTGCGAGCAGCGCACTTGGACGGTTTGTTGTTTCCTTTTGGGCCCCAAACCGGTAACCCTTGAATCTATAGTATCCAAGACTGTTAATCTAAGATAGCTTTGCACTAATTACCCCCAAACCATCCAGACAGGCTAAGCACTCTTTATGCAGCAGCTAGTGGTTGTATATTCCATCTGTCAATTTTATAGCGAGCTCAACGATCCGGGGGTAAAACGAACCACGATAAAGGTCCTTCACTGGTCCAATGCTTAATTCAGCTCTTGGAATTCTAAAAAAAATGCGAGAACTCCCATCAACTCTCTGGGCAGTACTTATATCCCATCAGCCCATCAGCCCGGGGTCCCTGGGCCCTGGGAAGTGATTGGTGGAAGTTAAGTTCGGAATGTCGACATGAGCCACGTGCTCAAAACCGATTCTCGGATTGATGAAGGTTAGGGGCAGTCGCCAGAAATCGTTGCGGACGTCCGGCGTCTTAATTCTTGAAGCATGGTTCTGGGACGACCATTTTGAGAATATTGACCCAGGATTAATAAACCCGTCCCATTCTTAGGGGGTGTTCCCTCCAAAAGTGGTGAATCCCCACTAAAAGGGGACACCCCCCTATTAATCAACCAGAGATTCTGCTTAATCCTTGGTTAACATTACCGGGTTTTGAGCAAGTGACTCACATGTGCCAGGGAAGCAGGTGCCACCGAGGAGGACCGGAGGGATGTCAACAAGCCGATGTTCAGAGACGCACCTCCGGTTCCCCAGTTTTGGTCGGGAGCATAGAGTGTACCACACTGCTGGGGTCTCCTACACAACTCATTCCCTTCTTTGGGGTAGACCAAATATGGCAGTGGTTCAAACAACACTGCGCTAAAATGGCCCCTTGATAAATGGAACCAAAGACTAAAGCCTGTGTCACCCCAGCTGCTGAAAACTTTGAGTCACACCCATATGATGCAGAATCTGAACAACTAGGAATTTATGTGCAGATGTGAGCCGAGTGAAGGCCCTGATTCGGATATTGATGGGCGATGTAGCACTTAACCCGTGACCTGCCAGTAGCAGCAACATGCCAATGTGTTGGCAACTGCATTGGTGAGTGGCAACCATGGAGTTCGGAATGGCTTTACCCATTTGATTGTTTACATTGGCACCTTTGATGGAACATTAAACGTGACACAATGCGACATCAAATCAAAGGCATGCATTGTAGGTGTGCTGCAGTGACTGTAGTGTCTTGTTGTGTTTGTTTGTCTCTAGGGGTCACTTCCCCATTGTTTCAGGGTCTTTTTTTCCAGAAGAAAAAGGGACATGCCGCGTTGTTGTTCTGTTTTTGTTAACAAAAAAAGAGATGGTTGAAACAGAATGGGCCATCAACCCCTAGACTGTTTTTTGTTTGGAAACTTGTGCGTTGCTGTTGTGTGTTGTTTCCAAAACGAGTTTACCCTTACTTTTTATGATTATGATAGATAGCCGTTCCTCCAAAGCTAGTTCTACAAGTGTGGACCCAGCATGAAGCTGAACTTGAACCTACTGTCTTCTGTGTACCCCGGATGTGGGCCAAGGGAAGAGAGAGGGATAGAGGGAGAGAGCGACCCAGTTGCCCAGTGGCGCCCTTTTTTGGGAAGGGTTCCCCTTTCAACTCAACCAACCAACAAAGGATGCCCTTTTTTCCCCATGGAAATCCACTGGGCATCTGAGGAGAGCAAGAGAGAGAGAGAGAGAGAGAGAGAAGTCACTCAGCCACATGCAACTTGAACTTGCAGGAGTCGATTCTATTTTGCCGACCTGGGCGGTTCAGAGCAACTCTCTAAGAGCAAGGTGGATGCTGGCGTCAAGGCCGAGAAAGTTCAAGGGGTGGATGGGTTTGTCTAAAAACTAGGATTTGGCTTGATATGAGCGCCGAGATTAAAAGAATGGGATTGTGGAGCCATGTAGTCATGATAGGGACAAAATGGTCTTCGGGTTTGCCTGCCTCTGTACTGTATCTCCCATCGTGAAGGCCCTTTCGAGCTCGCTGCTCCGTTGAGCTGGGAGCTTTCCTCTTGGCCAAAAAATCGGAGACTGCCAGTCGAACATGAAGGATCAGACTTAGAACTCGAGAGCAAAAGGTAACCGGTACGCTTCTTGTGGGTTCAAGGAATCCCCAGTGGGAGTTCAAAGAATGCTGATTCTTTTTCCTTATATAGGGATGTCCACAAATTCCTTTGCAACAATATGAAAGTTCAAGTCGTGAATACTTTTCTTAGGGATGTCCACGAATTCCCTACAGTCAAACTAGATGTCCCTATGTTGAATATTGATTGTTGGTTGCGTATTTCGAATGAGCTTCCTTTTGGGTGTTGTTGAAGGGCGGGCAATGCCTGATGTTCGCCACCATTCTAATGAGTGAAACCCCATTCTCCAACAACAATCCTATCCTATGGGTTACACCGTTCTCCCTTAAAAAAAGAAAAAGTGTTTTGGGACGTTGTTTTTGCTTGACTTCACAACACCCGTCATCACTTCACGTCACACCACAGCACTTCGCTTCACTTCAGCGCGCTCCACTGCACATTTTTTCCCCACTTGGCTTTCGCCAACGCCATGGCTGCGCCGGGGGTGGTCACCCTCACTGCGGCCGAGCTGGCGGGATGGCGGCGTGGGATTCAGTCGGCCGGCGTCGTCGAGCACATCCAGAACATTGTCGATGCTGTGGAGATAGTGGTGCGCTTTTGCGCTATTTGCAGCAGCAGTGATCGCATCATACCTTGCCGATCCTATAGCCATTATGGGCTACTTGGGCTGCTTGCTGAACCACGACGATGGCACGGCCCAATCCGAGATCATGCTTGCGGCCCAAAATCTTTCTGATGGGAGCCCTTTTAGGTGGAATTCCTCAAGGTTTACGACCCCGAGAAAAACATCAAAATATGCACGAAGAAGGGTTAGCTTTGGCGATTGGGCAGGATGTCATTAGAACCATTTTATGATCAAGCAAGGGTAGAGCATTGGTATGAGTTCCTTCATTCTAATTACCCAAGCCGCTAGTTACACACAGATGTGTTGTATAGATATGGGTCTGTCGTTGTTCGAGGCTACCCAATGTTTGGTAGTTTTGAAGGAATACCAAAAGGACAACCACCATTTTGGGGGGTTGTTGTGGGACGGCTGGCTTAAATGGAAACCCGAGCAAAAGCCAACCATTTCGGGGTCCCTTCGTGAGATTACACTGATACTCACTCCCTGAGTTCCTGGACAGTGTCCTTGTTGGGTAGACCACTTAGTTGGCAAAAAAAATCAGACTTGTTGTTGGCCAAGTTTCTCGAAAGCTCAGCAGCGGCAATCTATAACAAACTAAAGTCTATAGGAGCCTATTAAAAGAAAAGCAACCACATAACGCAGAGAAAAAAGATTGACATGCAAACATGTCTTATCCAAATGAAACACAAAACCTACTTTTGTTTCAAAATATTGACATCAAAACCTACCTTTTGAAACACAAATCGCCTTCTTCCCGGGCTCGTGGACTCCCCATGAGCCAGGCCCCGGTGACGGTGGTGGGCGGCGAGGAACAGCCGGGCACACAGCGGAGAAGCGGGTCGGAAGGGGGTCTCTATCCAGCTGGGAGTGAGATGAATGGTGAAGCTCTTGTGTTTTTCTTATTTTTTTTTACAGACGTATTTATACATAAGTATATATAGATATGGTACTTGGCCACGACTTTTCTGAAGTAGGAGAGGTACTTTATGGCTATTTGGCAATGGATGTTTGGACTTGAACTTTGTGGGAAATTGCGGATTTTTCGAATTGGAGCCACAAAGGGTTAAGCTTTTTGCACGGGGGTCAACAGGTCAACAGCAGCCAAGCATCATGGTGACGTTTTGATTAACTGTTATTGTCATGCCTCACCTGTCTATCATTCATCATGTTTGTCATGCCTGACCTATCCGTCATGCATCTTTCTTCCCAGCTTTCCCTCCAAAAGAAGCGAGGAGAGCTAAGGGAAACAGATGATGGACATCCCGTTTCCTATCCGGCTTCTATTGGCTGGAATGGGTAAAAGGGAACCGATCCATCTCACAGCTAAGCAAAACCCCGTGACTCTTTAGGGGCCTGGCAATCAAGACACGCCCTGGTGAAGGTTCGCAGGGGGACAGTCCCAACCACATACAGGCGCAGCCTTTGGATTCTTTACGTGGTATGTAGACCACTTCACCAGGTGTTGATTCTGGCTCAAAACCTGGCAGGCAACATTTGGTCAAACAACGGGACCCTGCTTGCCTTGTTTAGAGAGAAACCAGAAGGCTGTTTGAGCAATATTGCTTTAAAAACATGTTTTAAGCACGAGAGTGGCCGATTCTTCACATGGCTTTGGGCAGACCCCTTTCATTGACAGCCTTCGATTTGGATCAGAGCTAAACCGACCGACAGCGGGCCACAAGTTGGGGGATCTGATCGGTCTCCCGCCCAAGACATGTAGCCTTGTTTTGGGGTAAGCAAGGGGGATATGGTGTCCCAAGCTTGGCCTTTTGTTGAATGACTAAAGGAGGGCTGCCATTCTGTTGTGCTCGGATGACGTGTCTTTTTTTTGTCACGAAGCGCCCGAATCCTAGAAGCATTGCTAAAACTGCGCAGCCTTATTGCAGCAAGTTCTGCTTGATGCTTAGGCAGACACTGGCCATGGGCTTGTGAATGCAAAAGCGAGATGAACCCCTAAGAATGGGAGCTGTTGTTTTAGGGTACCCCTTCTTGGCTTTAAGCGGACATCAAGACGACAACCACAATCGTTTGGGGTGCAACCTCAAAGAAGACCTGCCACCCATGTTCGCCTTCTGTTTCCCTTCGCCAGTTGTTTAGTGGAACCCTTTTCCTTTTGGCTTTCCAAGTTCCTGGACTTTAGTCACTCTTTGGGTTTGGACCATTTTAGTGGTAAACAACAAGCTTGGTCCAGTTTGGTTACTTTCTTGGGCCAGTCCACTCAGGAAGTGAGTTGTTTGGTGGGTTCCCCACTGAAAATTGTCAACCCGCAAAATAACAAAAAGGATCCTCAAAGGCGCAGCTGGATCCGCCGTTACATGTCCTCCATGAAGCTGTGCCATATATCTTCCTGCAAACAACCAATGCAGTGCATAAGATTAGCCAGATGTATACCAGTGCAAGATCGTGCTTATATTTTCATGGGGGCACATTTGGGTAGGTCCAAAGACTCGAGGACAGCTGGTCTCAGCTCAATTCAGAGTAAGTCCTTTGAGGTTCTGCAAGGTGAAAAGGTTACCCTGAAAAACAGCACACACACGAAATCGAAATCAGAAATCCCAGAGTACAGGAATGCCCAGATTCCGAGTCAAATGAGAATGAAAGGCTGTGACAAAGGATGTGGGCGAGATTGAAACTGGGAAACGACATAAGGATCACAGTCTGAATGCCAAAGCAATGGACTAGAGTCATTCTGTCAGGGAAACAGCGCGGCGTGTACGATCGAGCTTGACTCGCAGGGAATTCTGAGGTTCCCCCTAGGTGCCCTTTTCCCTTTTTTGGGGAGGGTTCCCCTACTAGAAAAAAGGGTACCCTTATTCTAACCTCTCTACTGGAGGACCTAGCCCTCTTATCTTGTCAGATGCGCCCCCCTTGGACACATCTACGAAATTTCCACCGTAGGATCGCTTTTGTCTAGGGGTTGATTCCCCATTCCTTTCAACCATCGTTCCTTTCAACCATTTTCCCTGGGTTTGCGGAGGTTTTCTAGAAAGATTCGGATCCCCGGGTTCAGAATGGAAGTGGAAGGCTGCTTTCGCTCGAGGAGCCGCCTCAGTTGGCGGGAGTACTACCTCGCCCGCCAGCGGGTGGCCGAGACGTTGAACATCAACATGGCGCGCGCCTTTTGGCGGGGCGGTCGGACCGGGCACCCCCTTTGCTCAGCCGCTTTTGCGAAGGGAAACCCAACCTCGGGGCAGTGAAACCCTTGCTTTTTCTCCCTTTGAATGATGCTCAGCCCCCATGGTGAAACGGGGCATACACCCTTAATGTAGTGCCTATTGCCATTAAACCTCCGAGGATAGCTTCGGTTTTGGGGAGTGAATCCCATCGAAATGGACGTGTTTCCGCGCGCGACCCTCTGGGTATCTATTTTTTTGGCCCCCCCCCAAAAAAAACAAGAAGCCTTGGCCTTCCTTTGGAAAAAGCCACTACATTGCTACTACGGTCAGAACAAACTTGTTATTGTTTGCCCCGAAGAGTGGTTCGGAGGGAGCAGAAGCTAAGACATGCAACACGTCACTGCGCTTGTAGCTCTCACAAAAGGCCAGGTTGGGACTTTGGACGACAGATGACTAAAGTAGCCGTAGGTGTGCACTTGTCGTAACTCCCCAGTGCTCCACTTGGCCAAACATTTTGACCCAAGTGGAACCCCAGCCTTCTAAGGGTTTTGAATCCCACACCAGAGGGGCACCTGCAGAACGGTCATGCCGCCAGCAGAGATCGGCAGAATACCCACTTGCTCAGTTTTTGGACTTCACGCTGCAGGGTGTTTACGCTATATGTTGCATAATTACTTCCCCGTGACTTTTTGGGCCAGGTGGCCTTAGTGTGAGTTGCGCTTTGGTGTGATCCTGGGTTGGGCCAGATGGACTCAAGTGCTTGGAAGACCTGAGCGGGGTTGCTTCCAGGATTCTGGTGCCAAGATCCACAAGTCGGCCCAGAACCTCCTGGTTCTTAAGCTTCAGCTGAAGTGCACCTGAGAAGACGGGGGCTTTCGAGAGCCCCGACTCCCACTCCAGGGCAGCAACCAGCTCGAGCTCGAGGCAGCTCGAGCTTTGCTTCTCGGAAATTTCTCTACATCCCCATGAAGCACATCATTAGCGCCCTCCCCGAGTCAGGAGAGAGGCCTTGGAAGAACTCCAAGCGGAGCACGCTGGGTGAAGGAATCTGCGCGTCTTTTTGTCGGCACCAACCCGTACGCATATGGCAAAGACTGCACCTTGCCGGGCGTAGCGCCAATGTGGCGCTTTGGAGAGTTTTTGCAAGGCCCATCAAGAATCAGCTTGGGGCACTGCGCAAGGGGCCTATAGAAACGCGCTCCCAGCCGTTTTTTTGTGTTTAGTGGCGGGTTTCCGTTTAACCCAAGGACAGCCCAGGAAAGAGAAGAGCCCTTTAGATAAGTTGGGTTACCTTTGGCAAGGCAATCTCGCCCCGCAAAAACATGCTAAAGCTGCTAAACCATCCCAAAGTGGGGCTCCCATCCCTATGACTTAGGGTTCCCTGAGTATCATAAGTGGCTCTACCTGTCCACTACATGGAACCCGACGTTTCGGGGCCGGGAAGACGATTTGCTCTCAAAAGGGCCCTCTCGTGTGTTCCAAGTTAGTGGACAGGGTAGGAGCCGAGTTGTCAATGCCCATCGTTGACTTTGAATCAGGGCCTCTTCTCCTTGAAGAGGGTCATCGAGGTGCTGCACAGGCCAGCTCCGAGCGACAGGTTGGGCAAATTCGCACGGTGAGTTAGATTGCTCTGCTTTGTTTGGTTGCAGGTTGCTGGCGGTTTCGTTTAATTTAATTGCAGCCTGGTCGTTGTTTGTTTTTGTTGGTGTGGTGTGTTGTCTTGGTTTGGTCCTGTTGGCTTGGCGTGCTTTGCTTGCTTGCTTGCTTACACTCAAGTTGTCCCTACAATTGCCTGGGCCGCCTCTCAGCTGTTCCGCTCGCTCGGCGCATCTTGCGCATGACGCCGTGAGGCCCATTCCAAACGAAGGCAAGCTACGTATTCGGAATGGCCCTCTCCCAGGCCTCTCGCGTGTTTGTCAGCCTCAACCTGGGTGTTTCCCCGGGTTACGGTCCGTAATCTTCCCACGCACCGCGGGAGCAACCGCTGCGCCTGTTGCAGGGGGTCAGTTTGACCAACTCAGAATGTTTCATGTTGTGTGATTCGTTTAGTTGGAATATGTAAAAGCTTTAAGACTCCACTGTAGCCCCCGATTTCACCACCACCCACAATCCACCCACAGGCCACCATCCACCATTGCCCCGGCTATTACAGCACTGGTGCCAGCGCCAGCGCAGCAGCCAGCGCCGCTTCAAATACCAAAGCACATTCCCCCAGACTGTGTGACAAGAATGCACTCCCCCAGACTAACATGAACCCCGCCATTTGGAATTTTCAGCAGATTCCTCGGACTCCTTTGCACATTTTGTGGTTTTTGAGGTTCCCTCTTAAATTGCGGGGGGGGACATTACAGCCTGATGTTCGGGCCCTAGCACAAGGTGACAAAGTGATAGAAACAATGAGGGGTGCCCCAAGATTCCAAGGCATTCATGTGCTCAAACATGGGCGTGTGTTCTTGAACCCTTGTTTTAACTCATTTTGCCAAAAACCAAAAGGACACCAGCCCAGTTTTCGTGTTTTTTTTTTTTTTTTTTTTTAATATATAAGGAGGGGTTTCTAAAAAGGACACACATCCACATCATGTCCCCTCGTGCGTACATCAACCCCTTGGGCTCCCCCTTAGGCTCCCCTGCGCTCCCATTGCCAGGCGCTGCCGCATGGCCGGCGAGGGCGTGCCAAGCCACGCGCCGGGCAGCCGAACCTTCGGAGCCGAACCTCAGCTGGGCCCAGCAGAAGGGGTCGTCATGGGGCCTGCCTTTGTTTTGCATATAGGGGAAATGTTAAAGATGTGTTTTTTGGAAAACCTGGTCGGTTTTGGGAAACCTGGTCATTTTTTTGAAAATCTGGTCTCTTCCAGGGTAAATGCCTCTTTTTTCAAGTCAAAGGCTTGACTTCATATCCTCGAAAAAGTGCGTATTGGGTGTAGGGGGTGAGTCAACTTTCTCGCCCGATTTTGACACATGAGGGTTCATCAAAAGGTCCTTTACATGGCTACATGGGATGAGCATGGGGGAAAACCACAAAAATAATGATATTTCCACACCACATGCAAAAAGTTATTTAACCATTGTCATTTGGGGGCCAGGAATGTTGATGAACCCCCCACATAGCCATACGGGTGTTTCTCAAAGTAGTTGAATCGGTCAAGCATGCTAAGCCATGCTAGGCCAACCCTTCACATTTGCTCGCGTCGACTTTTGAGACATGGGTGTTTCGAAAAATAGTGGAATCGGTCCAACAGGGTGGGTTTCCTTTTGGTTTCCGACCGTCCAGAAAGGGGACCTTTTTTTTTCAGAACGGACCGTGGGTGTTTGTTGTTCCCCATGGGATGAGACAGCCGATGGTGTGGGGCGGTTCTTGAGCAGGGAAGTTCCGGGGAAATCTGGGGATGGGCTGAATTTTGGGGATCCGTGGCGGTTAGCACTTGTCAACACCGGAGACCTCCAAAATTGCCGTTGTCCGGCTGGGTTCCATTTAAATCTTTTTAAAACAATCTGAGAAAGGTACCAAAAAGAATCACACACGCCTTGAGCCACCGACCCAGGCTGCCGTATGTGCCGTACCAGGACTCCAAACTCACGTGACGCCGGCATGCCTTGAGACGTGCAAACTAGGGTCTCATCATCTTCTGATTCATCCGCGGGACAATTTAAACCGAGTGGTTACCACTTTACTAAGCAATTGCTCTGGTTGATTGGCGTTCGGATCAAGAGCCGATGAACGCCAACGTTTTTCCGGTTCCTTGGACCCACTACACCGGTCTTCCAATTTGTGGGCATTGTTTGTGTTTGGGGCTTTTGGGGGGGTCCAAGATGTTGGAGTTGTCTGACCCTTTAAGTATCCCCATGTGGGTATGGGTCAAAATTAAACCTCCAGGGGACCACAGGTTTTAGTCCATGTGTTCATTTACCAGGGTTCCATTTTGGGTACTTATTTTTGACCCAAAGCCATGTAAATTATGTCTGCTTTGAAAGGACACCAACGAATGTTGACCCCGGACAGATAAACCGGTCCTATTGATAGGGGTTCTCTCCCAAAAGCGATGAATCCCCACTAAGCCCAGAGACCCCCAATCACAAAACTGGGGTTGATGAATCTTGGGTTCGTATTTGACCTCTTTCTCTATGTTTCGGTCCAGATGAATCCCAAGGTTGACAAGTTGTAGTCCAAGGGGTACCTTGGGCCCCCGTCCTCTCCGGTCCTCTCCCTGTTGGCCAACAGAACTGCAATACCGTGGATGGACGAAATCCGTTCGCACCACGAACTGAAACTATGGTTGAAACCAGACCGTTTGTTGGTACTTACTTTGAGGAATCAGACCATTCCAGCGTTTCTGAACGGTGGTGCGTTTTCTGGATGTCGCAAGCACCGACGGTAGGAAAGCAGAAGTGCAACGTCTTTGTCATTTTCCAGTGCAGATAGCTGTGATCAATCCAGGAGCATCATTATGGGAGATTCGAGATGGCCTTGAGAGGGAAGTTGCCCAAAAGTGGGGTGGGTCAGGATCAAAAGGACACCACCTTTCTGGGTTTCTCTGTTTGGGTGTATCTTTTTGGGGGACCGCCCCCAAACAGCGACAAAGACAAAAGCAACATGACAGTAATACTAGTTCTCCTGTTGGTTTGTTTGTAAGGCCACAAATCTGAGGCACCCTCAAAAACCGACAAACCCATTTAGAGGCATACCCATGTCTAGCCCTTCCCAGCCCCCAAAAGGCGTGACGGCACGCCCTCGAAGCCAGGATGTTGCTGCAAGAGGCTTTGGGCGGTGGCGATCGGAGCCCCAGCTCGTGCAAACTCAAGCCCCACCCAAAGAAGCTACATCCTCTTCAGTTTGGTTAAGCATATTGCTATTTTCCCCTGTTGGTTTTAAAGGGAGTCTATCACTACTGGAATTTTTATTTTTCAGGGGACTTAAGCAAATGGAGGTGCTTAGGTCCTTTGCAAACGTCTTAGATAAACCCACGCTGGAGGTTCTTGTTGTTTTTTGTATGTTGTGCTGTTTGTTTTCGGGGAGGGGGGGGGGCATGTGTTAGGAGCGGTTTCTGAAGACTGGGGTTGTTTTTTGCTTTTGTCTGAGGTCCGTGCTCCTTGTGCAGAAAGGGTACGCTAGCGAGCCCCTAAACCCAAGCATTGAGGCTGAGTTGCTGCCTGAAAGTGTTGTGTGCCACTACTTTGGTGCATGTTGCTTGGATGTTAGGACTTTTACTTTTTGCCAACTAATGGGTTTTCCGTATTAAGCCACTCAAAGTTATTCACTTTTAGCAGGGGAGCAGAGTTCGCAACCGAGATTATCATTGTAACTTGCTTTTGCTTCGTGTTCTAGGGGCTGTCAACCCCTCAAGCGCCGGCATTCAGTAAACCACGACCACCATGACCGCGTAAGGTTGCTGGTTCAGTGGTTTGGGCCTGCTGTCCGATGTTCCGGGCACAAAAGACCAGAGGATCGCTCTGACGTGTTCAAGGCCGGAGTGTAAATGAGCAAGGTGTCTCTCAGGAGTCTTTGCCGTGTTTTCAGTTGGAGCTCAGTCAGCAGTTGGAACGAAACGAGAGTGGCATCATTGGGAAACAGGGGCTTGACCTTAAGGGTGCATACATAGGGACCACTCCGAATCGTTGATGCCATTTTGATCGCAGTGAACATATGGGTTCTGGGTGGCTCGTCTTTTTTAGGGGCCAAAAAAAAACAAATGGCTTCGGTTTTCCTTTTGGTTTTACACTCACCGTACTCACTCCAAAAAGGGGTACCCTCAAAAACAACAACGGTGCACCCAGAAGATGTGCCTGCGGCTGGGCAGGTTGACGGGCGACGTGTTTGTTATGCGTTGACACCTCCGGTCCCAGCGTTTTGCTCGGGGAACCAGTGCCCTGGTTTCATAGCTGTCCTTTTTGGTTGCTTTGGTAGGCATAGATGGCGAGTCCGGGTATGACCTGGTTGTTTCATTCATGATCTACCAGCGCCATCTGTTTTCCCAAAAGGACACCCATGCCTAGTTTCGTTGTTTGTTTGTGTGTGTGTCTGTGTGTGTGTGTGTGTTTTCTTTTCTCTTTTTTCCGAAAGGTTTTTCTTCTTGGTTTCAGACTACCTGCACAACATGAACCTTGCCCGCATTCATGCCTGAGGCACGCACCCTGATCATAACCACCATCAGCATGGACACTGCCCACTCAGAGGCCTGGAGACACCGAGCGGCCACATGCAATATGCCCGGTTGATTGCATTTTGTTTTGGCTCCTCCAAGACAGGATTAGTCCCTTTGCCGGAGGTAGATTGGAATTGAACTACCCATTGGACCTATCAATGCAACCTTGCATCCGGGAACCCGAAGCCGCAGAGAGTGTTTGCCTTGATATTCACCTAGCAACCGGACAGATGATGGCAGCCTTTACGTTTGCCCCCCATGACCAAGAAAAGACAGACAGATACAGTGATACAATGTGGGTTGGACAAGATAGTCCAAAGTGCTCTCAATTTGGTGTTGGAGACCAGGCACGTCCAGGTTAGCTTCCGCAGTGAGGGGAGTACATGCCTGGATAAGACCAGGCTTTCGCCCTCGAGACCGATAATTAGTTGATAAGAGGGAAGGGGACCGCGGGGGGGTCCATGAAGATACCTCTCCACCAGTATAATCTGAGTTTATGTGTCTTCAGCATGCTACCGATTAATTCTTAGTCAATAAGAGGGTTCAGAAGGGGTTCGTGGTCCAGGAAGATCTCTCCCCACCAGCCCCACCAATATGAATTTTCTAGGGGTTGATTCCTTTTCCATTCTTTTCAACCAGCGTTCTTTCAAGAGACCGGATCAATCCGTTTTCCCGATCGGGTTTCCGGAGGTTTTCTAGAAAGATCCGGATCCCCGGGTTCAGAATGGAAATGGAAGCTACCCGTTTGCCAGGCTTAGCGTTCCGGATCCGTCGCTCAAATCAAGCCCCAGGAGTCCTTGCAGACCTTGCGCTTCGGAGAGACCTGCGCCCAGGCTGGGAATAGAACGGGTTGCAGGGCTCAAGATCAAAACAAAGTCATCGTAGCGCAGCTTGCTTCCTGGGTTCCCGGATTTTGGTCACTTTTTGGGTTGGACTAATGATTTTGGGTGGTATACAAAAGAAGTAACATGATGCGCTTTTTTGGGCCATTCCACTGAGGAACAGTAAGTCAGAATCGTAAAATAGAATGAAGTGTGTGTAACCCGGAATCTGTTGACCCACGTGAGATGACTGCGTCCCGTTGCCGTGGACACCACCAGAGGTTCCCTTTTGGCGGACAATAGTCCAAATCAGGACCCAGTCTGGTTTCATGTTAGTGGATGGGAGGGTAGCAAGAATGGGGTTTCAAGCCAGATACAGTTGTGATCATAGCAGCATGTTTGAGACTATTTAGCCCCTTACCTATGCTGGTCCTGCTTGCGGCTCAGGATGACATTGTTTGAGACTTACTGGGGCGTGGCCGCTTGAAATTCAGATTGGAACCTGAAAGTCACGTTTAGAGTTTAGAGAAATCTTTTTTGGGGGGTAGAGGGACAAACTTTAGTGTGACTGGCGTAGTGAATTGCTGCAAAGCGACAAGGAAACACCTGCACAGCAATCCTAAGTCAACCGGCACTCAGCCCTTTCTCTGGTTCTTGTTTGAAATCATATGAGCCACAATCAAAACCGGGTAGATGAATATTCCTGCCTGCCGGAAACCAGATCTCGAGAAAGCCTTGTCCAGGGCCGGAACGGTTCCGGCCCAGGGCGAGAATCCAAACAAGAAACACAGGGGTCACACGAATGTGAATATACAATATGGGGTTCTCTGAAAAACAAAAACCACAGGAGCCGTGGATGGAGGAGCTTGCTTGAGAACAGATATACATGCATTGGCATTTTTTCGGAAAAAAAGCTTGGCCTGTAGGCTCGGGTGTTGTTTGATGATGAGTAATGGTTGTGATGTTCATGTCTTGTTTTTGTTCAAGCCGGCGCATGAGTACCTTAAGCTGTCCTGTCTAGCACAAACAGGTTTGTGCACATCTTGATGTTTGACCTTTTCGCAGGAAAGAGTGTGATCACTGCTCGAGCCGGAGTCTATCTATCCAGGTACTTTATCCCAGAGAGAGGAATACGTTCAGAGGTCAAGATCATTCATCGCCTAAGACAAATCAAATACCGAGACAACCGCATGGTTTGAGTGTTTGGAGCCCTGGTGCCAGGAGTTGGCTGTTCCGCTGAGTTGCAGTTGCCGAGTTTCGGGTTGGCTTAGCCATCTGAGTTCCTTTACACGATCAACGTTTGGGCAATCGGCGAGCCGGCGAGCACCATGAGGTTCCGAATCTCCACCTAACTGCGTGGAAGGTGCAGAGTACACCCCAAATGAAGGGACGCTTCATTTGTGGGTAGAAGGGAAGTACATACGTATGGAAGCTGATTGGAAGGGGGTTGGATGATTCCAATAACCCAGAGATTGAGCTACAAGAAGATCCAAGAAGGATGTTTGAACATGTTGCATGCTTGTTTAAACATCTACTTGTTCTTGCTTGGGGAATTCAGATTTCAGTGTTGTTTTGGTTGTAGTGCATGCTTGTTCAAAAATATACTTGTTCTTACTTGGGGATTTCAGATTTCAGTGTTTTTTTGGTTGTAGTTTGGCCAGATTTCTGCGTCCTCCATGCCAGGTTCAGAAGACGAGGGAGGCTGACCAGGCCGGACGCGCTCGAAAATGCCGCCTTGGATCCGGCAGCCGGACTCGAAGCGCTTCCTTTGAGCGGGGTTCTGTTTTGGACATGCTAGGAAGGGCCCCTCGATGGTTGCCCTTGCCTTTTGTTCGGCACCTCCCAAAGTTGCGGGTTCATTGCAACCAAGTTGCAACTGTCCGAACCTGGCCTTAAAATGGGGTCCTGTAACGGGGTCAAGCCGGAGGCTCCAGAGAGTGGCCTCAGCACACCGTAGGCGGCATCAGTCACGCTGGCCTTGGACAAGATTGAGCAGGTGGGAGTCGACCGCCGCAAAAACAGAAGCTGGGTCATCGTTTGCGACAATCATTTTTGCCCTTGGCTAAAATAATGAGAACCAGAAGCAAGAGAAGGGAAGGCACAGGGAATTTTGGATTTGAGCGCATTTTGGGAATTGCTTGCATTTTTGCACTTGCTAAGCTGATGGTAGGACGATTGAAATTATATTTGCGAGTCATGGTTTTTCGCTTTTCACGCATATAGTTTGGGACAATCATTTGGTGACTTGTGGTTTGTTTACGTGTGGCATGTTTACAATATTGGCGTTGCGGGATGGTCGCAGTTGGTAGCTAACGGTATCCAGAATGGTGGTACGGACAAATGATAATACGGACAGCATACGGTACTTGTTTGGCTCGGGAAGTGTGTGTGTGTGTGGAAAGTATTGTCAGGCTTGTACCAAATACTAGAGGTACTAAACTTGAAATTGCAAGTGTACAATAGTATTGGCTGAGCGCGAGGTCGTTCAGCACGAAGTCGTTCAGCTAGTCGTTCAGCTTGCGTGCTTGGATGTAGTCCGCATGTGACTTCTACACTGCCTCAATGTACAAGTCCTTTCGTGAAAGTGGACCAGCCCTTTTTGGGCTTGCTTTGAAGAGAAACTAGAAAGAAAGGTCTCTTTTAAAAAAAGAAAAAAGGAAAGAACAAGTTCAGCTCTTGTGTGACACTCTCCCTTGTTCTCCCTGTTCTCCTTTTAAAGGTCCTTTCTGGGATAATGTTGACCCAGGATTAATAAACCCGCCCCATTATTAGGGGGGTGCTCCCTCCAAAAGTGATGAATCCCCACTCAAAGGGGACACCCCCCGATTAATCAACCAGGGGTTAACATTAGAGAGATGAAAGGAAAGGCTCTTGGCTTCTCTCGGCAGGAAATCCAGGCGCTCCAGGCGGAGATCGCCCGCAAGGAGAGGATATCGCCAAGCGATGGCCCGGATAAACGGACCCAAAGGTCTAACTGAGTTCCCCGAATCAATATGCCCTTGGTTGCTTCCTTGCTATGGTTGGTTGGTTGCTTGACTTTTGTGTCACTCCCCGAGTTCCTAAACTCTAGTCACTTTTCAAAAAGACTATTCTAGTGGTAGATAAACAGTTTGGTTGCTTTTTGTTTGGCCAATCCACTCGGTCGGAAGGGAGCTAAGCTGTTCTTGGCCAAGGGCAGTAGACTGAGTTCCCACCGTGCTTGTAATTGTTTCCGAGGTTGGACCCTGAAAATGAGGCTTTCCTTTGGTGTCCATGAAAAGGTGGCCAAAGACAGGGGTACCCTCCAAACCCAGACACATGCCCAAAAGTCTAAACTGTTCTTGGTCAAGGATAAAGGTATATAAAGGTTTCGAGGGATGGAACCCTGGAGACTCAGGGCTTGACTGTGGGAAAATGTTAGAAACTGCGGGGTTGCATCACTTTCTGTGCCAAGTTGCAATCCCCTTCAACCTGACAAAGTCGCCAGGTTGGAATCCCATTCTATCACAGAAAAGCATTAGCTTATCCTCAGTTGTTCAGTGGCCCCCTTTTTCCCCCCTTTTTTTTTGGTGGCTGCCACGCTAAAATGGTCTTCCCAAAAAAGGGTTCCCTTTTTTCCAGGTTCACTGAACAACTGAGTATCTTCCACAACGGTTGAAGTTGTATCTTGTTGTCCAGTTATTGAATAGTACCCTTTTCTAAAATGCTGTTCCGAGCTAGGATGTGTACACGGTTCGCGATTGTTCACCGATTCCATGAAGTGACTGGAGTCGTCCCCAGATCTCAGTCAGATCTGGTGGATTATGTGGGGGCTGGTTTCTGCGATCGCGCCGGATTCCCTGTATGGAGCAACTCCGGTCTAAAATCGGGGGTTCAAAAGAAAGTGCCAACCATCCAACCTGTTTCAGGCCATCTTCAGCCCTCAGTAGGGAATGAGAATTGAAATGAACCGGCTTTGGTGCCGGAATAAAGGAAACCACCAGTTGGATGGTTTGTCTCGCGGTCATTCCATTTCTCATTCCCTACAACAAGGGATGGTTCATAGGGGTCATTCCCTCCTTCTCTACCAGTCACACCGATCGCAAGGAAAACCTCCCACTCGGAGACCCGAAGTCCCTGTCCCAGCCACTTCCCCTCGTTTTTTTTTACCCGCCCCAAAGTTCCGCTTCGGCTTTCGGCGCTCGGTTTTCTCCGAGGAGCGCTGGGAGACGGTGTTCACCAGGCGCCAGGACTTGGATACGGTGGCCGGCGCCTTTGGCGAGCCGGGGGGCCCTGGGCGGCGCTGCGCCGCTCGCTTCGAGTCGAGTCGAGTCGGATGAGACTCGAATCCGTGTGCCGAATGACCACAAGACGAGGCGCAAGATCGGTTCATGTTGGCCAGATTGCAAGTTGAACATAG